GGGGGGGGGGGGAAAGAAAACCAAACAAATGACACAAAAATATAGTTCTTAAGTGTCTCAAGGTGCCAATTTTTTGTAACCATCTTTTTTTTCCTGACAGTCGTGTTGCTTACCAAAAGATGTGCTGATAATCGTCACAACAAAGATAGCACAGAAAAAGAATGCAGGGAAAGGAGCATGTGTCGTGGGAAACATTTCGTTCCTGAGAAATTGAGGAAGAGAATGTTGGCAAACCGCGTGGTGTCCTACCAAAGCTTGTCGATGAAAATAGATCAACATCATAAATCGTGCTAACCAGAATGGAAGCACATCATCAATTAATGCTACCGGGGTAAGGGAGACTGCGATTTATCTATACTTTTCCTTAAAAGATATGTACCAGTACTCAACTAGTACCCTGTATCAGTGTTTAATATTAAACTATTCTATCCTAAATTCGCTTGGAACACCCCTTCGTATGGATTTCATAGTTCATTCATTTTTTCACGGCAAATATCATTATTATTAATATTTGTCGACATGCTATGCCTGGTTTCGCGTCATTTTATAATCAGAAACCAAATGCCACTAACAAAACACCCAATTAGTACCGCTCGAACAACCAAAGTGAAACCAATTGCGTTTCTCCAAATCCACCGGAACAACTGCAAAAAAAAAAAGGTGAGGGAACATAAAACAACGTAAAGCAAGCATGCATAAGTAATGAAAATGGGAAAAAAACAAAGAAAATAAACGAATCGGAAAAAAAAGACGTGTAGAATTAACTCGAACCAATACTAAATCCTATTACTCAGACAAAAAAAAACTCATGGAAGACTTGCCAGATAATCTGTTATACGGTGCCTTCATCAATATCAAGACACCAAAAGGGGAAAGTGTGAGACAGTTTCCGATTTTAAATGTAATATAAAAATACAATTGAAAAGGCAAAAACGAGGATTCGATGTCTTGACTTCATCACCCCTTTGAAGCATCGAACGTTCCAGGCCACGGCGGCATCCGAGGCAACTCTCCTCTTGACTCGGATTTTGCCTCCATTTTTTTTATAGCCGTGAGGGTTATCGTCCAATTTCCCATTCTTCCTTTGATCCTGCCATTGTCCGTAGAGCGAGGTGTATGGTTGCTTTTCATCCTTTATCTTCATCCATAGCCCTTCTCACCTTTCGATTTTTCTAGGGGTGGGGTGATGATGAAAGGGGACCTTCACAGGGTAGGGTCACCATGCCGTCGATTATCACGCGCATGATAATAATTCCCACTATTATTGAACGGATCGGTGGCCCCGTTCGGGCCGCTGTTACCAACCCCCCCCCCTCCGCCTCGTCGTCGTCCACGCGCGCGGTCGTAATTCTCCCCCCCTCCTTCTCCCATGTGGAGGAGGGGGGTGTGAAACCCTCCGGGGCCGTGCATCACCGGCGCTCGATACCGCCCACCGCCCTGAAACGAATGGGGGTGGTAATGGGAGTGATGCAGCCCCGCCTTTCGCCCCCCTCCACGAGGCGTCGGGTGGTAGGCATGGCCCCCTCCTCGCATTCCCGTGGAGGCGTTCATCACCACCGCCTGCACCGCCGCGAAGACGGTTTTGGAAGGGATGGCGATGTTACACGCGGCGAATTTCGCGGCGGCGGGGTGGGGCGGCCCCCCTCCCCCTCCCCCGCCTCCGGCTTTCCCATGCACCCGCGTCCACCACTCGGTGACGTCGTTGTACCAACTTTGCCAAGCCCCCGCGGCCTCCTCGGAGGACGGAGGGGAGGGGCATCGCTCGACGCGGAACATCGGCTCCGCCCCTGTGGATTCCCCCCTGCCCGCGCCGCCGTCGCGGAAGCCCGCGCGGGCCTCCCCGCAGAGGGTGAGGCCGACCATCTGATGCCACCGCCGCAGCACCGCGAC